CAACCTTAATGATTCTGTGATTCTGTACTCTCTAAGACTGTTCAAGTCAAAATGAACCAGGTCAGAAAAGACTACCACTCTGCTAGGACTCATCCAGGTCATTCTATCTAGGAAGGTCTGAGGAGGACTCACTGGAGCAACAATACTACAGGAGCAGCAAGTTCTGGTGGAGAGCAGCACCTGGAACAACTAACTTTTACACTGGTATAGTTGCAGCTAGAAAAATACGTGTCCACTGTCAAAGTCTTCTTGTGATAGACTCTATGGACCATAACCTTCCTACTAGCCCTTTATTGCACCTTTACTTCTTTGACTTCATCTTTCTTGGCTATGGGTTATCATTGCCAGGCATAGCCAGATGCAGCCTTACCAAAGTGCTGCACACTGGCATTAGACTTTACTAGAGATATCTTTCCTGATTCACATTTGTCCTTTGCGTGGCCTCCATAGCATTGGTAATACATAGTGACATGTGACAGACATTGAAAACCTTTCCTTTGTCATTTCCAGGGGATGAGAACTCAAATGAGAACTCAATGCGTAGCATTTTTTTCCCCTTCAGTGCCTGCACATGGAAGTGTAAAGTAATAAGATGTCTGATGCCATTTTTTTTCAGAGTAAGGGATGGCATGCTAATAGTGGCTATCAGAGGAAGAGGAAAGACACCTAAAACAATTTGCAACTGTCTTTATTTCAGTGCCTTAATTTCACTTCTGTTTTCTGGCCTGACAACAGATGAGCAACTCAAGACACCTTCCTCTATTATATTTTATCCTGGCGGCCTCATACGAAATTGTTGGCGTTAATGTAAATCCAGGAAGAATGTCTGTCTCCATTACTGTGCTTAAATCTGTCTCCATGGTATACGTGTAATTACATTTCTGTATACAAACCTTGAGTGGCTATATGCATATTATACATAAATATAGACACACGTGCATCTAAATTTTTTTGTCTGAGGAAGCAGAGCAGCTCTCTGAGGCTTGGGAAAAAAAGCAATCAGGGACAGCTGTAAAACTTGGCAAACTTTTAACAGCAGCCTGTATCTGAGACTAGCAAGTGTAGCAGAAGGGCAGCAGAGCAAACATGGAGGACATGTGCTTGGGAAACTGTGATGGGATTCAGCGCTCGGGTATTTATCTATGCCATTTCTAGATCACATATGTGGAATAGTAATCTGTACACTGATCCTGGTGCACTAAATGCCCCAACACCGATAAATAAAAATGTACCTTTCAGATCTGATCAGACTTCTGCTGGAAAGAAAAAATGTCATGATAACCTTGAGAGAGCCCAAGGCTGAGCTGCAGGTGCAGGATTACCTACCTGAGATTTTCCTGTCACTGGAGCGTCGTTGTCCAGCCTGAGCCATCCATTCATCCCATCTCTAAACAATGTGACACTGTGCCAGTTCCCCAACTTGATTTTGTTTTCACTTGTTATGACTGCAACTCCAGTGCCACAATTGAACCTGGGAGCATGAGGCAGAGAGGGCAAGGTAACAATCTTATATTAACCAAATAACTGAAAGTCGTTTTTAGACACGAAATATTCCCTTCGCCCCTGGAAACCTCTCTGTCTCACATTGCATATTAGCAAATCACAGGAAAATTACCCAGCAGGTCTACATATGATCTGTTCTAAGTTTCTTTATCTGTCTCTCTCCCACAGAGAAGATTTTGGATCCTCTGGCTGTACCAAGAGCATTGCAAAGCTTGCTAGCAGCTGAAACTGTTTCAAGATGCAAGGTACTACAATCTGAGTTCCTGTTATCACAGTAATTTCTCTTGGGAATTTTTCTAGCTCCCTGGTGAACGGCAGTGCTACATTAATAACTCTGCAATTCAATATGTAACTCAGTACTGATTGACAAGGAAACCTCCAGGAGAGTCTCTGTGGAGCTGAATGTGCTCAAAACGTGCCATTTTCTCTGACTACTGTTCAGTGCAGGTGAACAGAAACACAACTAAGGCATATCATCCACTTTGTTATTCCCCACTTTCAGAGGACTCAGCCTCCCAAGTAAGGAGATCCTTAAGACACTCTTTGACATGCTTCGTATCTATGGAACTGCAAGAAACCCCCTCCACCTTCATTTAAGAAACCTGCAACTCCCATCTAAACAAGGGTTATAAGATGAAGTTCCAGGCCTCTTGCTGGCATTAAATTCTTTATTTCGCTGTGTTACCTACGGGTCCTTTTACTGTGAAGCAAAAACATAGACTATGCACAGCTCGATATAGCATAAGAAGTTTAGCAAAGGCAGTGGCTCACTATCATTTCTGATAACACAGCAATGAGCCCTGGATGAATGCCTTGAAGAAAACCAATCATTTTGCCTTTACAACAAGGTCTGAGTAAAAAAAGTTCAACAAGGCACATGTCCACACCCTAAAGAAGGATGAGAGTAACAAATGTTGAAGAACTGTTAAATGAAGTAATACTGTCCATTTTGTGCACTGAGTTGGGCAGAAGTCAGACACGACAGATATTCATCACATACAGCAAGTCCCAGAAGGCAGCATGGCCCCTTCCCCTTACATCAGATTTAGGGTGGAGGTTTTACCTGAACTGAATGCTACGTCGGATGATTGCTAGTGACATAAAATCACCACGACCGTGTTCATTTTCTCCACAGTATAGCAGCAAACCATCTTCTGATTCAGCCTGCAATCACAGCATCAACATGAAAAATCAAAGTCTAAGCCTCACAGATAAATGCAAGTAGCACTGGGGGGGCTTTTCTCCAGAAAAGGGAGACCATTTTTTCAGATGGAGTTTTTAACTTGCAGAATCAGAAACTGGTTGGTCAATTTCGAATCCTGCATTTGAAGAACCTAGAAAAACATTGCCTTAATGCTTAAGTGGTTTAAGAACATCTCTTCTACTTACAGCATGATACCATCAGACCTAAAAACAAGCCTGGAAGCATTAAAGACTGTCAGACATGTTCATATGAGACCTCTGAGCACAAAGTCTAGTAACAATGTCCTAGCAAGCCTGTTAAGTGTGGCACACCAGATTTACTGCAAATGAATACAGACACCCTGCTTCACATGTTCAGTGATCCTGACACTTTTCAAACTGAACAACCTGTGCAGGCAGGATTTCTCCGTATGTGCATAGCAGCTGACACAGCACCTTTTGACAGCCATTCCTGCATTTTAAGCTGACAAATTGCCAGAGGAGTGTCAGATCATCACATGAGGCAACAGGCTGCTGCCGCTCCAGTGACAGTCCCGGACCTAGGCTGCGAGGCTGGCAAGTCTGCCTTATGGGGGAGCAGGGTGCATCTGAGAGCTCGGCCACTCTCCCCACAAGCAGCCTTACCAGCTCTGTTCCTAACACACAGACAGCATCAACACAAGCCGGCATGGGACGTACACTCCAGAACTGCAGATTAAGTAGCCCAGTATCTCACATGTATCAGTAGCTGGTGTCCCAAACTTCAGAGGTAGAAAATAATGCCTACTAAATCCTGCAGGATAGGAAAGGAACTCTGAGTATAGGGCAGTATTTTGTTCAGGACAAGAAGATCACAGTTTCTGATACGCGAAGATATGCATGCCACTTCCAAACTGGAATTCACAAAAAATCCGGGTATACTTCAGCCTGTAGCTCATTCACATGGCTATAACCTTGCCAATGTATACTGCTGCTAGTCCTCAATGCCCATATTACTGGTCCCAGCAATTCTCTCACGCAGTGCCTACCAATAATGGATGCAAATATTTTAGCTCAGTGTACAGCTTCATTTGCATTCATTGGAGGTGAAGCCAGTTCTTTAGAGATGAAGAATATGTATAGGTTCACCACAGTTACACTATAAGTTATACTGAAGCTAAGTTATTGTTCCATTGTCCACATCATCAGAATAAGTGAATAAAATTTAGAGCTCCTATGTGAGCTTGGAATTGCTTAAACTTACCCTGAATTCAAGGGTAATTTGAAATGTCTGATAGGAGTTTTTCAGTGGTTCAAAGGTGATGTATGAGTAGCCAGAGAACTGAGGATACTGGATAATAATATCTGAAAAGGAAAGACAGAAGCATGTTATTTAGCAGTTTTCTCCCATACAAAAATCAATATAAACATTTAGCACTAGCTAACATCGGGTGAAAATGCAAGGCAGAATTCCTGCAGACACAACTTTTAGTCAACAGCAGTCAACAGTTAACCTATTGCCTTGTCCTCCCACCATCTTTCACAACTAATTCTTTTATTCCCAAGGACCTGGTGAACTTGGAAAGAAACAGGACATTGAGGGCCAAATACTGCTCAACAGTTTAATTGCTGGCTTCAGTGGAACTTTCTCCAGATTTTCATCCTTGTTACAGAAGACAGAATCCATCTACTTTATGTTTATCTCCTTTTAAGAACTAATTTAACACAGAGACAACAAAGTAATTTTCTGTTTTGCAGGATTACAAAAACATATGCAGGGGATGTGGCCAGACTCCACACTGCATTAATCACTGCTGCTCCATAGCTGCTGCGTCCAGCATCCACAGAATCCTTGGACGGCTCATAAGAGCCCAGCAGCTCCCAGCACTTCCCTGAAGTCAGATCAGGGCAGAAAGTGAAGGGAGTGATGGGGAGAAGAGGGTCTCTGCAGGCATCCCTCCACTCCTGCCTGCAAGAGTGGCCCTTCATATTGCTGCTGTCGGCTATCATCATCAATCCTCACCCTTCGTCATCTTATGTTAGAGGCCCATCCTGGCTTCAGCACAGAAAATGAAAATAAGAGAGATGTCTTACTGCTACCTTTGCAGATCATTTTCCTAAGAAGCACTGAGGACAGACACAGTTTCAGGCCTGAATTCTTATTTCCCCATTGGATCTAAATCTAATAAGGAAAGACAGATGAGGAGTCCTATTCCTCTTTGCTAATACTGAGTGGGTTTTTCTTGGATATTTGGATCTCGATACAGTGCATTCAGCTTTTTTGTTTGCAGAACATACATTTCAGGCCGAGGTGCAGAGAACTGATGCTATAAACCTGAATGCAACCACAGCAGACAGCAATTAACTCATGCCCTGATCACAAGCAGAACTAACTGGACCACAGCACCACGCAGCTGTTGATTGTAAAGGAAAGTCTGTCTTCATTCAGATTAATATGCTATTTAACAATACCGGCTGCTGTGGAGCAATTCAGTACAAGGGAGTATTGGTACGTGATGCTACTCCTTACCAAGGAATAACGCACTCCCCTGTGAAAAATGGTGGTTTTGGATTGACGTTAACAAACCCGCTCTATAAGTTGCATAGAGTTATGTCAGTTCAAATAAATCCTCGACTCATACTCGATCAAGGCCAAAAATCACATCTGCAGCCGTTCCGTATGGCTGAGTCACAACAGATTGTTTTCAGAATGAGCTCTCTTTGCTCCGGCACCAGGAGGAGAAGATCAAACACCCTCAGTGCCGGTATCCCTGATGCACGACACTGCGCACCACGAATATCTAACATGAGCCTGCAGAAGAAACGCGTGCCTGCTGCGTGGTGGGGCCTTGGCAGACCAGATCAGCTTGCAGAGGGATGGACCAGCTCTTTCTTAACTGGTGGGACAGCACCACTACAAGCAACAGGACACTTGCTTTGCACGAGCTCTGGCATTCATCCGACCCCTTGGTGACCAAACCAGAAAATTAAAAATAACTCCAGGGGACAAAAAAAGTGACCGGCTTATGGCCTGGTAAGTGAGCTGGACTGGCTCACCAGGTGATCAGCTCAACATCAGACCCAGCAAAAGGGCAAGGTTAGGTCCACAGAGGGAGAGGACAGGAAGGTGGTGAGGGAAGGAGAAGCATGATGGCCTCCCTCAGCTCAGCAAGATCTTGCCCTGGCTCAGCCAGCCTGCAGAGAGGTGAAAGGACGCGTGGCAAGGACGCAGGTTGTCCCTGACTGGGACAACCATACCTCCTCACACAAACCCAGGCTTCAGGTCATGCTTTCTGAACTAGGGCAAAGGGATTTTTTGCCTCCCTTGCCCCAGCCTGCCTGACGTGACTGCTGGGGCTACCACTCCAGCACTCCTGCCCTCCAGATCATGGGGAAGGCCTCCTCTGGAGGCGGTTTTACAGCGAGGGGGGTCTGTCTCACATCCCTGCTGCAGGATCAGCATCACCCAATGGACCGTGCTGGAAATGCAGGTGGTTCAGGGCTTCAGCTGCAGGCTGAAGGCAAGGGTCAAAGGGGGGCTGAAGGTGCCTGCTGGAAGCTGCAGGTGCCATGGCTGGGCCCTGTCAGGCCTGGGTGCTTAGCAACATACCTGGCTCCATCACCTTCCCACTCCTAGGTGGGGGAAGGAGGATTAACCTCCCCTGTGCACCTTCACACCGGGTGTGTGTGCGTTCAGCTGTGTTAAAGAATAGCTGTTTCACACCTAGCTGAGGAGAGAGAAGCAAAGGGGCCGATGTCTGAACTGGCTCAGGGAAGCTGCTGCTGTCCTTAGGGTTCCATTAAGCCCAGCTGGCTATTGCCAAAGCGCGCTTTGGTTGGTTCATCACGAAGCTGCTCCTTGCCCCAGGCAAAGAGAAGCCAGCAGCAGCGGCCACACAGAAACCTGCCTTCTGCACATGTCTCTCCTCCTTTTCCCAAGTTGCAGTGGCAGCGGGAGCCACCCCGGTCATAGTCATTGACGCAAAAGCTGTCTGCAGAACAGATGGCCTCATCACAGGAGAGATCAAAGAGGCGTGTTGCAGAAGATGTGCTGCCCCTCCTCGCCGTAGTCACCCTCGCTGTGGTTGAAGGCCATGTGGTGGTGGGAGTGGAAGTAGCAGGTTCAGAAGTGGTTGTAAGGACCCGTGACAGGAGCCTGGAACTAGATCCTGGCGTGACCTTAGTTTCGACCAGAAATTTTCTACTGCCTCCTTTGATAGCAGGAAGTGGTCTGAGCTGAAAGGAAATGAAGAAACACAAATTCAGTAAAACCTAAAATGCTACGTGGAAATGAAATTAATACCTTCCAAGATACAGACTTGAGGTAACAAAGTCATCCACACTGGAGAAAAAGAAACAACCACATTATTATATTTGAGCATATAATATCAGATATTAAATGTCCTGACAAGATCAGAGACTTTAAAGTACTGAGACTATGAAGAAAACAGAAATGCCGAAGTGGAACCTTGAAATTTACCTCTTCTATGTAAATGTCATAGTCAGAGTCATCGATATCAAATCCATCATCATCACCAGTCACTGTGTCTGTGATGTACCGATGTCCATAGCTTCCACTTCCTATCTCCTCAGAGCCTAAAAAGACACAACTGGCATATTCAGTTCATATATTTTTTTCTCTTTACACAGAGCAACTCGGATCTTACAGCCCCTTGATTCCTCACTGAAATGTGAAGTGGTGTTAATGTTCATCCTGTACAGACAATACAAGTGTCAGCCTGAAGATGGGAGACACTGTCCCAGTGATACACATGCAACTTAAAAACAAAGTGAAGACCTTCATTACTTACTTACATTACATTACATTACATAGTCACTTACTGTGATTCCCAAACAAGGCAGGCAAAGCTCCGTTCTCCCACTGCAAACTGACTTTTATCCATCATTCTTCCAGGAGAACAGCTCTGAACATTTTTGGCATGGACAACATTTTAATAACTGTCTTGGGTTTAAATTAAACTTTTCCCTTTTGTAAATACACAGTCCTGTATTTGCCCTACTGGTGACCAAATAACTGGAACAACAAAAAAGATGCATCTAGGTAGGACTTTTCTGGCACACACTGCCTCCACTGGCTCCAGTGCTTCTGAAATTAGCATCCTGAGTGTATTTTAAGCCTATTTTTTTAAAATACAGTTTAGCACCTCAAAAAAAGAAACATTCATAAACATTATGTGTTTTTCATGTGCATAATCTGCTTCTGCCTCTTTCTGGAGTGTTGAACTGTGCTGTGAAGGACTCCAGGCTGGGAACAGCCAGTTTAAAGAGTAAAAGGGTCCTCACTGAAAACATCTGTGGTTTTCTGCACCTTACATAGCAAATTCTGCTTAAATAATGGATTATGCTTTTTAGCTTTTAAAATTTACCACAAGAAAGATAATACAGGTAACTGCATCACTGTCATTCCTTGTCACTTCAGCAAAGTTAAGAATAAACATTTGATAACCATTAAAACAGCATAGTTCATACATTTGCCTTCTTTTCCATAAAATATTTTGCTGTCACTTAAAAATAGCATAGGTAATCCTTGCTTTACAAAGCCTCTGTACAGGCTGACCAAGTGTGCTTGTTTATTTTAGCATCCAGAAGCTGCCCATATTTTCTCCTAAGTTCACAGGTCCTTCACATTGCAACCTGCAGAGACACCAAGTCTTGCTGGGCAGTGACTGCCTGTGGAAAGGGTATCTGACAAGCCAGAAAATGCCACCTGATGGTAATAGGAGCTTCACCACCACCAGTGAACAACCCGATGGAGCCAGTGAAAGCTAACGAGGCTCAGCAGACTTTCAGAGGGAGCAGTATGGGCACTGTGCTATTGGGCCTTTTGAGCCAGCCTAACTGGGGTCAGCCATCTCCCACCTCAGTGGAAAGTAAAGGAAAAATATCTCACTGACCTGATTCAGGCAGCAGAGCACTTGTCTAAACCTTGTTGTACTCTCTCCTCCTTTGCCGTGACTGCAACCCAGAAAACCTGGCAGACAGTCATGAAATCAAGCATACGTGCACCAGATAGGAACGTCTGCCCTGCCTGGCTAATTGGCCGCTCACCATACACTCTGTGGGAGTCACTTACTGACAGGCTTTACATGTTAGATCAGCATACAGAAAAATCAGAGGCAAATGAGTAGAGGTAATGAGGCATACACGTTTGCAACCAAAACAACATGCTAGGCTGGGAGAGAATGTGTATAAACATTTCCACTCTAACATGTATGCCTAATTAACTGTAAATAATACAATTTAACTGTATATTAAACAGAATTATTCAGTACAGAGTTCTACCAACTGAGCTAAGCAAAGAACTCACAGCTGATGAGATGAGGCCAACTGGACAAACTACATCCAGATTATTTCTGCTGGTGACTGTGAATGCACAGGGAAAGAATTACTACTGGAGAAACGGACTGCACATTTATGAACTGGTCCCAGCTCTGCATTCATTATGGAAAACAATAGTCAAAATGTGGGCAAAACCTCTTACTCCTAGTATCCACTTGTATAGCCACTCAGGTTAATCACCATCACAGGATAATTTTACTCTAGGTAGGAAGAATAGACTAGACTAGATTAGACTAGACTAGTTCAGTTGGAAGGGACTTACAGGAATCATCTAGTCCAACTGCAAGGCTGACCTCTTCCACCCATCACTGCATCAGAATCTCTTTCTCTGGTAACAATGATTTTATAAGACATGCATTTCTACAAAAGAATTTCAGTGTGCAAAACCTTAAACATAAACATGATAAATGTGACTTGCAGTTTAACAGAAATTATATGAATGAAGCAGAGCCCAGCACTAACTCAGTTCCCAGCAGATGTAGCAATTTCCAGCTCACTGGAATACTATTGCTTTTAAGTCAAGTCTGTAATATTACTTACTGCCTTTATACTGTGTATCTGAAACTATTTCAGAACTCATTCAGTTCTTTTAACGGATGAAACTGTAATTTACCTAAGAGTAACAGAAGCCATAAAGCTAAGCTAGGAAAAGGAAAGGAAAAATCACAATTGTGTCAGAGAAATCTGTATTCAAACAAGCTGTGATACACAAACTCAATTTTCTAATTCAGAGGTCACAAGCTGCAAAATAAACATCTGTTGTAGTCCAATTTCTGCTACATCTCTTCTCAAGCAAATTTTCTATTGGCTTTATGGGACTTAGGTTCAACAAGGATGGCAGGAATGAAGCAATACAGAGAATGAAGTATCTTCATATTCACACGTAGGAAAATGTTAGGTCTCAAATTCACATTCAGATATGCACGCTTGCTTACATGTATAAACATGATTTTAATGCCATGCGAGTTTTACAAAAGTGTAACTCTCCTGATTTGAGTGGAGGTATCACTACACTACATCAATAACCACTAGCATGCAATGAGATGTGGTAATTTAGGAGAGACGGGTAGTTCCCCAAGCAGAAGGTGTACCTCTTTCATCCAGCAGACTACAATATTCCATGGTTTTCCAATAGCAGATGTTGGGACACGAAACATACCCACTATTTTAAACCAGACAATTATTCCTTTCACCTTATTGAGCTCGTACAAGATTTAGAGCCTGGAGAGAGCAAAGACGGTATGGCTTATTGTGGCTGGTAGAAAAGACTGCTTTGAGGTCCTTCTTCAAAGATCTTCAGGACATAAGTTTGGCATCACCAGGAAAAGCATAACTTCAGAAGGTGTCCTAATATGCACGGGTCTCTAATGTGGCCCCAGCTCTCTGCTTTCACTACCCCTGGCTTCATCTGGGTTTCAGCCAGCACATGCTGCGTTACTCTACCTGCTTATCTGCGAGCAGTTTTGGTAATGCATAATGCACTTGGGAGCAATGAAGACATGGAGATGTACTCTCTTCTACCTATGCCTGAATTTATACAGGCAAGTGCACACACCAATGAGATGAGACCATCTAACAGTTCACTGGCTTCTCAGTCACCTTGCTCTGCCTTACATTTCGTGTTTGCTCACTGGATGTGACAGGATACCCACACGTGACGTGATGCAACAAAATTGCAAAATAACAGAAAGCAGAGAAGCTAACACAACTTTTTATAGAGAAACTCCCACACAAGCCCATCTCTTAAGAGCACTGTATAGCTTTGGTGGAGAGCTCATCTCATAATGGGTGGCAAATCAAGGACAATTAAGCAATCTGGTACTCTGCAAATACCAAAACAACGACTACAGAGATTATAAACTTGCTATATCTTATTAAATCAGTCATTTGGTGTACAAGGAGATGAAGCCCATTTAAGACCCTTTACCAGGTCCTATAATCCTGTTTTATAATTAATTGGAAACCTGTGGAGGGTCATGAACTTTGGACAGCTTCTTTCCAAACAGTCAGGAATTAGGTTATATCTAAGAAATCTTTCTCAAAACAAACAGGAAGCCATACAAACTTTTGCTTTGCCAATTAGGTGGCCACCAGCATACTGATCAGGAGACATGGGAAAGCATAGGTTGTAGACCACTGGGCACTGCAATGCAGGTAGATTGAATGGACATCTTAACAGACTGATCGCCTTCACGCAGAACCCATCACAGGTCCAAATCCAAAATATATCAATAACATTTTAATCTGAGTTTTATTCTTGTGACTGACTCACAGTGAGGCAGTGCATATTGCCTGGCCTGTCTCTTGCTTTTTTGTCCCTGTTTGTATAAATACAAAAGCTGCCTTTGTAAAACCTCTGGAGATCTGTGGGAAACAGTTCTGTGGAAAACCTTCTGCATTTGCTATCTCCATGACACATCACCATCATTTACATCAAGGTTTAGGCCCCAGGGACCGCACTTTTCCTGTGCCTGAGCCTCAGCAGACACATCCAAGCCCCATGCAGCATACTTAAGCACCTGTGCCAATGCCTTGCTCAGTATGACCCTGGCGGTGATGGCCAGGACCAGAGGAAGGAATGTACCCAAATTAAGCAGCCACTTCTGTCATGTTCACTGCAGAGACAAGCAGGAGGGTATTTTTAACAGAAGATGCTTCCTCTGTTGGTCTGGCAAAGCCCAAGGCTGGTGACCTTCCAGGCACAGTGCAAACCCCATCTGTTTCCCCAGGAGATGAAGTGATGCAGATGATGACACTTTGTTTGATTCTTTGGGACAGTTTATTTTGTTGTTACTAAACTTCATATGTGAAATCTTTTTTTCCAAGTAAATTGTCCATGACACATTGAAAGACTTATAGCAAAAAAACAACAACCATATAAGTGAAATACCTGCATCTGTAATTAAGAAAGGCAACAAAAATTGATTTATTACATCATTTCCCTCTAGAAAAAAATGAAATCAAATCACAAATAAATTAGAACCTTTGGGGAAACTTGCCCTCTCTTTCCTCCCTGAAAATGGAGCACTGTAACATAAACCAAGCATGCATTTTTTACTAGGTAAGGGGGTAACTGCTTATAATCAAGGCCACATGTTCTACTTGCACAGACCTTGGAAGGTCTGTCACATTAGGTGATCCCATCAGCAACCCTTCAGAGGAACATTTTCGCAAACACAGACAATGGTTTCCTATGCTCATCTGAAACAATAGAGTACTGCACAGCCAGCCACCTTTTAAAACCAAAATAAGAGAATTACATATGAGAATGAGATAAATCCCAGCAGAAAACATCCCCAGGTAGCATGGACTCAGTGTCTGCAGGACTCATCTCTCTCTCAGCTTGCCTAGAAGAGCTGCAAGAGACTCTGTGCAATGCAACATGGACCCTGAAGGTCCACTGCATTTCAGGCAATGCTGGGAATTTCTTCTTCAGTTAAAACAAGCATTAGAAAAGCACTAATTCTTTCAAAACAAGCATAAAAATCCAGGATATACAAGCACAAAGCTACAAATTTTTAAAATCCTTAGTGTCAGCACTGTGTGGACTAAGTGTAATGCAAAGGAGCCAGACATTGTATGGACTTCTGCCAGCTTCCCAAGTTATTTCAAGTATTTCTGAGGAATATACAGGCTCTCAAAAAACAGCATCAAATATCTGTGGTATGTTTTACTGTTTACATGGGAGGAGGTACCATTTTAATGACAAAGGTAGTAACTCCTACGATGCGCACCCTGAAGAGCAGAAGTGCATCATTCTCAGACACGGCAACTGACACCCTTCCAGCAACCATAGGTGACTAAGAGGTACCTGCTGGCACCTCGGGAGATTCAGGCATCTGTTGCCATCTGAGATGTATTACGGTACCTGAGACATCCCCAGGTGTCTGGGAGACACATGGGAGGCACATGTCCTCCTGCAGTGACAGCTGAAAACCACAGGACATAGGGGACCTCAGATGCACCAAATGTCTACACCTGAGGATCTGAAGTGAATGATTAACTGGGCCAAAGAAGGTAACCATTGGCTTTCTGGCTACTAGAAGCGGGAAGGTACCTGCAGATACATAATGTGAATTACGAGTAAGTTTTACTTGGTTGCCCTTAAGCTTAGCATGCATTTTTTTGTTACATGAAACTTGTCAATGGTTTAAATCACTCTTCAGGGTTTTTAGTGTTTTGGGGAAAAATAAATGTTCAGGCTACGCATGGCTTTAATCAAGAATTTTTTTCACAACAGAAGTTTAGCTTTTCTATTAATGCACCATGTACTTGTGTATCTGGTTAACATCAAACTAGTTTCTTACACAGACATCACCACTAAAGCCAAGTGAGAGCTGCTAACCTCACTTACACGCCTACTTTCAGAGAGCCACAGAACTTATTCCTAAAGGCAAGCATCCTTTGCTGCCTTTGAACACCACTCCTTGCTCTGCAAAAAGCTGGTTGTTATGAAGACAGGTATTCACAACATAACACAGGCTTTCACAGATAATGGCTATATGTCATTTTTAAGACTATTTGCAAAATCCATCCTGGACTGTCAGGACTTTCCCAGCAGACTGGCAAAGGAATTACATTTGCATTTGCCAAAGGACCCACAGTTTGCTAAAGTAGCCCAAAGTACAAGTGATCTGGTGCAGGGCTGGAGCACATCATGAATATGATGTGGCCCCAGGCTATGGGAGTTCTGCCTGCACATGAGGGTCTCCCCGAAGCAGCCCCTTGGTGCAGCGAGACCAACCACTCAGCAGCAGCAGCACCCACATGCCTACCATGGACCAATACAAAGTTTTTGAGCCTATTCAGAGCAGTGCAACATGCGTAATACATTCACTTTTCAGATCTGATCCAGGCACAGAGTCAAGCCCATGCCCCCTAAGAACCTCTCCAGAAACTAGTGTTTATATACACGGGGCATGAATTTGATTCCAAGCTCTATGACAAAAATTCATGTTCTAGAGCCATCTTGACAAGTCTCTGCAGAACAGGCAGTTTCCAAAAGCAAAGTGCCTTTCCTAGGGTACCGCAGTAAGAAGCGCAGCATGAAGACTACTCCATTCTTATTAACAGAGCTAAACACTTTGTCTTTTCTGACCAAAGAATGCAGCCACTCACATCCAAAGATAAACAGGATACTGAGAAGCACACAAGCATGCCTGTGGCAGCAGGAGCTGACCCCTGAGGATCCAGGGGCCAAGGAACCCCACAGCACACTGGATCTTCATGGTTTTCAGAAACATTTGCTTTGGAAGTTAAACTTAGAGTTAAGTAGCCACAACAAACTTCATGCAAACTGTTCAAGGGATTGAATTTATGACAGAGGGGGAAAAAGAATGGAAACTGCCATATAAGAGTCAATGAAAACAAGGGATTCCAAGATAAGGCGGCCATTTAGAAAGAAATGCTTAGCGGGTTGAATTGGTGGATCACTAAGGATGTGGTCCACATTTCGGCAGCACGAAAGTACTTCTTGCAGAGCTCACGGTCCTACCTGAATATCACCTTCTCATTTTCTACCAGCTAATTAAAGATGATTTGCAATTGAGCGTGCAGGGGACAAAAGAAAAAAAGTCACTTTCATTTTTTGTTCATTAATCTGCTATAATTATATCCAGGTATTTTCGTGGTGTGCATGGTATGCTGTCCCCTATAAACGCCTTCAAAAGTGGAACTTAAGAGTACTGAAACCTTTCAAACACAACAAAAAGTGTGGCACATTAAGGATATAGCTCAGCTAATCCCCATGCCCTGATAGAGTTGGCTCTGCTTCGTGCATTGACTCTCTTTGTGACACTGGGGTTTTCGCTGTGCAGAAGGTGTGATTTTTATGATGCCGAACATGCTCCGTGTCAGCTTAGTTGGGATTCTCACATGCAGCTATGACTCTGGGGGTGATGAGGAGCAACAGCACCTCAAAGTCAGCCCACAGAGACACTAGCAGTGACAGAGGGTTGTAATCTGAAGAAGGCCATCAGGAGATGTGTGCAGGACCTACCCTTTATTGCAATGTGCCTGGTCTATATTGCTACACAAATGTGCATATAATTGTTAAAAAATTGTGACTGAGCCTTACTCCTCAGAAAACAGTATCAATTTGGTTTGGTCTTTCAGAGTTGTTTAAATTAGAAATATAATATATACAGTTCAGTTTCAAGAACAGAAAAAAAAATTAACAGTAAGACTTGTCTCTCTCATTTCTCCCCATGATATTCACTTATCAGTTCTGCATGAAGTCAGCACAAAAGTCAGTAAACAGTGATCCAAAAACGTCTAGCAATGACCTCCAGAGCAGAGAAATGGCATGAGAGCACTTCTGCCTGGAGCTTTTCAAATCTTTGCCTGTGGCTTGACTTTCACAGGATGCTGCAAGCTTCATTGACAGGACTGAGGGCTCACCAGCCTGCGCTTGCCGAGCGACTCCTTCCAACAGCAGCCCTCCACAAGCTGCCCCAGATACACTTCATTTACACACATACTTCATATTTATGTGACTTTAATTACAAAAAGGTGGTTCTACTTACTGAATGTTCGGATGATGTCGCTCGGTGCACTGGCAGGGCTGGATCCATAGGAGTTTGCTGCTCGGATGGCAAACTGATACTTGGTATTTGGGAGAAGTCCCTTGAGAACCATGGATTCCATCTGTATCTGCTCTCTTATTACCGTCCAATTGCTGTCAAGGTCTGGCCTTCAGGATAAAAAAAAGCCAAGATCATAAATAATTAAGCCTGGTTGTATAAATTAATTGCCTTTAAACTTTCCTGGGAAATATGCAAAATAAATGAGATATAAGCCTGCTAAATCATCACTGAAATCCTTCGCTCTTAAGGGGCCAGACTGTAACCATTGCTAAGCTGCGAAGCCTGTGATATCAAAACTATACAGTGATACAAAACCAATATTTGGATTTTGCTTATAAAGCCAAGGAGGTTTTGACAAACCAAGTTCTGTTTATCTGTTTTCATGCATTTTGGGTTCACAGTTTTCAAGTGGAAGTATATTACTAGCCCTTCCCAATCTCCTATTTGGCTATATAAAGCAATACTTTGCAACAAAGGAAAAGATCCTGATTTATTTCTAAGAGTTTGTGCTCTAATGCTGCTAAGTCCCTTCAAACACATACAAGCATTAGCAGGATGAGAATTTAACATTTGATCTCCCAGGCAATCAGGTTAATCCACCCACACTGGAAAATCTGGATCCAAAGTCCTCTCTTCAGAAAAAAAAAAAACCAAACAACCAAAAAAAACCAACCCACCACCAAAATAGAACAGTAGTGCAAAGAACCTGGCCTACGTATGTTGATTTTGCAACAAAATTCCCATGTCTGCCTTTGGAAAATGCCTGGTTACTCCTGATTCATACTGGAAGCCAACTGCCAATAAATGCTTGCTCTAAGTGCCATCACAATCCATCCGAAATGAGTACAACCATTCACATGGCAGTTTGGTCTCAAATGTTTAAGTTCATATGGGGAGGGCTACTTCAAATACTTTGAGAGAGTATGCTGATGCTTTCACATGATTTCTACTCTCTCTGAAAGTGGTCTCTTCTTATCAGAGAGAGAACATAATGACAAGATAAACAAATACTAACAAAATAAAAATGTAAACATTAAGTCTAGGCCACCCAAAATATTCAAACTGAAGCCTATGAAAGTAAAATAGGGACAGAAATTACTTTCAGAGAACATTATTCCAGTGTCCTTTTCTAAGATGTCCTTGTGATATTTATTACAGGAAATAACCTCTATTTGCTCCCTGAATCTACCAATGTTTACAGAGGACTAACTGCAAATGTCTCCAACGGTCTTCCAATGAAAATTATAGCACAAGGCAGGCAGTTTGTATTTGTTTATTTGCAGCTGGAAGGAAATGTTAAAGTTAATTTATGTTTTCTTTTACCAGTCAATACAAGATTTATTGATCACTGAGGTTTCATTGCTTTGTGCCAGCAGGACAAATGCAGTGACACAGCAGCAAGTCCCAGCTGCCTGGCTCCTGTGCGCAATGGCACACAGGATGCAAACATTTCATTGTCGTGCTAAAAATAAAAAAAAAAAAACCAGACAAATGCACAAGATGTAATGACAGCTAAACAGACCATCTTAAGTCACACTCCACCACCATTTCCTGGTAGACAGGAGGGCATTTATTTTGGCTACTCTTTCATTGTTTCCCTTCTCAGAGTTTTTGATGGCTGGGCCAAAATTAAAATGTATAGTGTTTTCCAAATGAAAGCTGTTAGCATTGCTTCCTTCCACACACTCGCTTAGCAGTGTTTTCAATTTTCCTGTTGTTTTTTTGGCCCTAATTCCAGTCTCAGGAATTCCTGCTAGCTCAAGAGCTGCCTCACAGCCTCTTCACAACAGACCCTGCGGATGTCTGCACTCCAACGGAGGCGCACGCTGCTGCTGAAGGGACCCAAAGGCGGTACTGCACCGCAGGCGAGCCTTCGACCTCACCGGCTGTCTCTCCTAACACTCCCTTCTGCAGAAATGAGTAATAAAGGGAATGCCTGCAAACATGTAAGCGTCTGCAGCTGAAGGAGAGGGAAA